TCCTCCATGAATCTAGAGTCCTCAGTCGCTCCATCTCTCCATGTCTTCACCTCTGTCTCCATCTCTGATATCTCTACTCTTCTGAATAGGGTCCCACACTCCTGTTCTTCTCTCTTGATTGTCCCAGGATCCTCCGCTCCTGGACTGCAAGATCAACTATTTCCCTCTTTTTGTTATAAAACGTCTACCTTTACATTTGCAAAATGTAAAGAACCACAAAAGTCTTATCTGCATCTCAGTTCACCAGCCCCATCTAGACAGGTTGGAAAACACTCAGTGGAGAATCTACCTTCCACCGCACTCTCTGAAACTAACCTCCCTCTTGAAAAGTTGTAAGCCAGTCACTTTGTGCCTTTATAGCCCCCCTCCCCCATTTTAGGTAGCCAATGTCTAAATTGCTCATCCCTGTCAACCGTGTGTACAGAAGGGGTGGGAATGATCCTTGCTGTGAAGATTCCTTCGCTCTTATAAGCTACTACATCCATAAGTATAGGTCAAGTTCATCAAATTGTAGTGGATTACTTTTTTTCCTCTAGTCGAGTTCTGATCATCCAGCCATTGAAGCTAGGTCAAATGAGTACTGTCTACAAGTATGGGCATTCTTGTGCATCTCCCCTCACTTTATATCAGCTGGACACTTCACTCTCCATTCTAGTCCTCTGTGGCTATGTCCCTGTCCATGGCTCAGGAGTCCCCAGGTCTCACTCCAGGTGGACAGGAGTCTATTGAATGTGGTTGGACTTAGCCCACATCTTCATTGCTGCTTTTCCCCCACTTCCCCTTATCAGTAGACCAACATGGTCACCAGGAAGGTTACATGCCTGCTCTTGTATTCCCTTTGAGTTTCAGTCTTGGAAGTGGGTTTGCCCTGAAGGGACTTGATTGCTTGCCTTGATGGCTTCCCTCGAACAACTTGCTTATTCTTGTGGTAGCCAATCAGACTGCCATTTTTGTTTCTGATTTTTCCTGCTGTTCTTTCTTTCAGCTTCTAAGCATTTTAAATGTATAATTTAACCCTCATATAAATCCTATAAGGTGACTGTTGTTAACCACCTCTGTTTCACAAAGGAGGAGGCTAGATGCAGAGAAATTAAGTACATTTTTCAAGGTCACAGCCAGATAGTGAGAGGTGAGGCTGCTCAGGTTTGCAATTGTCACAACTTAAAGGTAAAAGATGTGTAACAAAAATGGGCGAGGAGTTAATCTTACATTCCAGAAACAGAGGCCCCTAGGACCATCAGCAGAGAAGAGCATGAGTGGAACTTGTGATCCTAACCAGAGAAGCAGTGACACCAGAGATGGAGGGAGAGGTGATGGCATGGAGAGATAGGGCAGCTGAGGACTCTAGACTCATGGAAAGAGGACTCTAGACCCATGTGTGCGGGAGGCCAGGAGGCTGGTTTGCAAAACATGCCCTTTGGTTGATTACATGATTATATATTCCTATGTGTTTTCATGTGCATCAAAAAAAAAAAAAAAAAAAAAGGAATAGAGGGACCAATCGTGCTGGAGGGGATTGTAATCATTGCCATGAAACAAAATAACGATTGGTTGAGTGCAAAATCGATGTCTCCCATGTAAACTATTACTCAATTCACAATAAAAGCTTTAAAAAAACAAAAAAGTTCTGGCTGGTTCAAACAGACTGAGAGAAAACTGTGGGATTTGACTCAGGATTATGTTTTTTAGTTCAGTTATAGTCATTGAGTTTTCTCTTAAAAGCTAGATTTCTTTAACAAAGCTCCTGTTGTTCCAGAGTGCATTATAAAATTTGGATGCTTAAAAAATGAAAACTTAAACATGTCCATAATAAATAAATAAAATCCCACCAAGAAAAACCCTCTACTTTAACATATACTTATATATATTGTTGTTTTCAAGTGCCATCAAGTCAGTTCTACCTCATAGTGACCCTATATAGGGTTTCCAAGGAGCAGCTGTTGAGTTTGAACCACCAACCTGTCATTTAAATTGACCTTGTGGTCCAGCGCATTATCCTACAGCACCACGCCAAGACTCCTATATCATAGCAACACTACAGAGCAGAGTGGAACTTCTCCATAAGGTTTCTGAGGTTGTAAATCTTTCTACCATGGAGCAGCCGGTGAATATGAACCACCAATTAGCAGCCCAATGCTTATGCTGTGGAATAATGCACTGCACTGCAAGGTCAGTTTGAACTGCAAGGTCAGCAGTTCAAATTCACTTGCCACTCTTTGGAAACCCTATGCAAGGTCATTATGAATCAACAGCAGTGAACAACAACAACTTATGGTTCAGTGTCTTAAGCACTTAAGAAAGGTTGGCAGTTCAAACCCACCGGCTGCTCCATGGGAGAACAATGAGGCTGTCTGCTCCCATAAAGATTTACAGCTTCAGAAATCCTATGGAGTATTTTCACTCAGCTCAATAGTGTTGCTATGAGTTGGAATTAACTCAAAGGCAGTGACTATATGTGAGGCCTGACGGTGCTGTGGGATAAGCACTGGACTTGCTCACTGCAAGGTTGGCAGTTTAAACTCACCAGCCGCTCCTTGGAAGAAAGATGAGACTTTCTGCGTCTACAGAGACATAGAACTTCAGAACCCTTATATTCGATCGCTATGAGTCACAGTTGACTTGATGGCAGGGGGTTTGGTTTGGGTTTATCCTCGATTATTTTGGATGAAATCACTGTGGCCTTGGATAAATCAGCTAATTGCATCAGACTTTAGTTTTTCCATCTGTAAAGTGGGTATAATAATAGTAATTTACTCTGGTAGCGTAGTGGTTACGAATCGGGCTGCGAACCTTAAGGTCAGCGGTTCGAAACTACCAGCCGCTCCGCGGGAGAAAGATGAGGCTTTCTACTCCCGTAAGGATTTACACCCTCGGAAACCCTGTACAGGGTCGCTATAGGTCGGAACCGACTCGACGGCACTTAACAACAACAACATAAATATATGAAAAAGCATGAAAATCTTCTGTGGAAAAAATCCAGTATTTTTTAATTCAATTTGTCCACAAACTTTTGAAGCCTCTGTGTGTGTGTGTGTGTGTGTGTGTAATAAAATTCCAGCCACATTGTTCTTCTTTCATATTATATTCCAGGCATCTGTTTCTAACAGGCTTCTTGATCCAAGGAAACAATCAGACTAATGCAAATTCAGAGTCATTCTGCAAAACAATTGACTTGACTCATTAAAATGTCAGTGTTAGAAAGGACAAACAGCAGGATAATTGGATGACAATAAGGATGGAGAGAAGGAGGCAGATAAGAGCTAGATAAAAAGTGGAAGGGGGAGGAGGAGGATGGACAAGAGAAGATGAAGTAAGGGAAAGCATGGGAGGAGGAAAGGAAGGAAGGAGAAAGAGAAGTTTAGGAAAGTGTTTGTAAAGTAACAGACAAGGAACTGTAATGCAAGATGCCAGGATTCTGAATCTGAAAAGTACAAACAAGAAGACTTAAAAAAAAAAAAAGCAGTTATAAAGGACAATTCATTAGAACAACCAAACTCCCCATATAGGTCAGTATTTAAAAAATAGGGAGCCCTGGTGGCATAGCGAGGTAAGTGCTGGACTACTAACTGAAAGGATGATGATTCAAACCCATCAGGAGAAGGAGGAGGCACTTTGATTCCATAAAGATTTACAGAGACTCTATGGAGCAATTCTCCTCTGTCCTATAGGGTTGCTCTGAGGCAGAATTGACTGATCGGCAGTGGGTTTGGCTTTGGGATATTGAAAAATAATATTATATCCATATTAAATGTTCCCAATGTCTCCATTACATAGTACTGCTATAATAGAATGATCACAATTATATGGCTTACACAGAAACTTATTCCATCACAGTTTTGTTGGTGTTGTTAAGTGCCATTGAGTCGATTCCAACTCATAGTGACCCTGTATAGGGTTTCTAAGTCTTTTGAAAACCTTCAGCAGGCTACAAGTACAAACTGAAGGCACTGCAATGTTCCAGAGGAAGGTCTTCATCTTCTTTCAGCATTTGTGAGCCCAGGATCCTTGGCGATCTTCATGTGTCTTGGCCATCTTTCCCTAGATCTAATTGGTTCTCAGCACAAGAACCCTGGCTCTAAAGGACTTGCTCAGCTCCTGGCTCCTCTTTCTTGTTGGTACTGAGGAGGTTTCCCTCTCTGTTCACTTCTCTCTCCATTTTTTTCTCTTGTAAGATAAAACGTGTCAGAGGCCACACACCAGGAAAACCCCTTACATTGGTGAGTGCTGTTACATGAGTAAGGGTTTTGCATCCCATCCTCTTCCCCTTACAAGTAATTACCTGGTCATATCAGATCACATGACAGGGAAGGATTACATCATTACATAACTGCCAAACCATTGAGAATCATGGCCCGGCAAAGTTGACAATTACTTGAGGAGTACACAATTCAATCTACAACACTATGTATAATCATTACATTGTGGTTATGTAGGAAAATGCCTTTGTTCTTAGAGAGTTTATACTTAGGGGGAAAGTGTATCTGCTACTTAATTTTTAAATAATTCGGCTTTGAAAAATCTTGCTTTTTCACATACATACATTGTCATGAGTCAAGTAGGTTCAGACTCATAGTGACCTTGTGTACAACAGAACAAAATATTGCTCCCTCCTTTGTGATCAACACAGTTGTTGCCATGTTTGAGCCCACTGTCCCAGCGACTGTGTCAATCCATCTCATCAAGGGTCTTCCTCTATTTTCACTAACCCTCTACTTAATATGGGTGTCTGAAAAATCAATATCATGCCAAATGTTGTCAGTAGATTGGGATAAACACATGTGTATTATATTATCTTGTGACTTTCTGGAGATTTTAAGTTTTTCAAAATGAACAACCCAAAACAATTTCCATGCTTACAGAAATAGCAGTTAGAACTATATCTATGCAGTTCTGAGGGATACCAAGGAACTTATTCTGTGTTTATAAAACTTTAGAACCTAAATAAAGAAATAAATCATTATTCAGGGGAAACTTAAATGAACTTTAAATTTTTTTTGTAGGAAATTCACAGGATGCAGAATTTTTTAAAGAACCAGGAGGGCATGGCTACTGTCAACGAAAAATTGGCAAAATGGAAACATGGCTCCGTGAGCAAGAGGCCCGGGGACAGTTTTTTTGGGATGGCTCTAGCTCTGACTCAGAGGAGTCAGGGAAAGATGAAAAGAAATCACGAGCTCTGGTGAGGACCAGGACAGAAAGAATCCCACTTTTTGATGAATTTTTTGATCAAGAATAAGAACGCTGTTGTTATTGCTAAATGCCATTGAGCCAGTTCTGAGTCATAGCAACCCTGTACAGGGTTTCTCATGAGCACCTGCTGAGCTTGAACCAGATAAGGAATGTACTGAAGCTTTTCTCGCCTGTAAAAAACTTCCAAGTTGGTGTAAGAATTACTCTGAGGAAACCAACTCACTTTATTTGGTAAAATGAAATGGTATTACTGGATTCCCGTGGTTACAGGTTTTTCATATGTTCTATTACCTATTGATGCATAACTGCTTCAAAATTTAAGACAAGAATCATTGGCTTCTCTATTGCTTTGGGGGCTAGGGTAGGTTGTTGTTGGGCTCAGGTGAATGGTTCTTCTACAGGGCTCTTTTGGAATCTTTCATGTGGTTGACGACAAATGGCAGCCAGGACTGGAGTCAGCAGGAGGTCCCACCCAGGTGCCCACAAAGCTGGGTCTGTGTGTGTGAGAGAGAGACACAGAGAGACACAGAGAAGGGGGATATGTGGCTTCCAAAAGTTCATTCTCTTTTAACTCCATTTTTACATGAACTTTTTGAAGCCCCTTCCTATCATCCCAGAGCCTCTTTACAGGATCTCTTCAAGTGGTCTCTCCAGATGGGTAGGCAGTTTTCATTCATGTCAGCTCAGGGTTCCCAAAAGCAAATGTTACCAGAAAAGAAAGCAGAAGCTGTTAGTTCTCCTAGAGACTAGTCATGAAATAGACATTGATTGCATCGTTTCTACCACATTCTATTGGCTAATACAAACCACAGACGAGTTCAGAGTCCATGAAAAAGACTACATAGGGCATGAATCTCAAACTCACAGTCCATTGAGGTCTATCTTTGGAGACTTGCTGACACACCATATTTTTGTTGTTGTTGTTGTTTGTGATCCAGAAGGCTTTTTTTTTTCCTTAAATGTTTTATTGTGAATTATGTCATAGCTTACATGGGAGAACATTAGTTTTACATTCATTCTATCATATATGGTCTCATTGCCATGGTTACAATCCCCTCCATGAAATCCTTCCTCCGTACCCCCCAGGTCTTCAGCACATAGTTGCTCTCCCTCTCTGGATCTAAAGTCTCCAGCTGCTCCATCGCTCCACGTCATCATCTCTGGCTCCATTTCAGGCATCACTGCTTCTCTGGGTAGGGTCCCGCTCTCTGCTCTTCTCCCTTGATGGTCCTAGGGACCTCCGCTCCTAGACTGAAAAGTTAATCACTCCCCTCCTTGCTATAAAACGTCTACCTTTACATTTCCAATCCTCACAATCAGTCCCGATAACACACCATATTTTTTTGTAAGCAAACTAGGTCTTATAAACAAATAAATGAGAGCAGACTTGATACAAATACAACTTAGTCTTTTTTTCTAAAGAAAGTCACAGTAATGCTAAATTAGACACTAAGTTCACTGAGATCTATTTTGTGCAAATTGCTGTTAAGGGCCATCAAGTCAGTTCCAACTCATAGTGACCCTATGTAGGGTTTCCAAGGAGCAGCTGATGGGTTTGAACCACCAATCTTGCAGTTACTAGTCCTATGCTTATCCTGAAGTACCATCAGGACTTCTGAGCAAGTTGTCACTATAGCTAAATGCCATTAAGTCGGTTCTGACTCATAGCAATCCAGTGCTTATTCTGTTGTTGTTGATAAGTACTGTCGAGTTAGTTCCGAAATGCAAGTCCAACTAAGGAATTTAAGGATTTAGCAAATAAATTCTTAAATGAACTGACTAGGCAGACTTCTTAAAAAAAAATAAGATGCTTGGGTGGAGGAATGAGTGCTTATATACTATGGCTGCTCAAGAGGGTTTCAAACAACTTGGGACAAGGAACTCCCAATGCTGATGTTAGGTAGAGATTGGTAAAAGGGGCAAAGCTTCATTGTTTTGTTGTGACTGGAAATTGGACAACACCTCCCTTCTTTCAGTTCCCTGGACTGTGAACCACAGGAGGGCACAGCCTAACCTTCTCTCTGTGGTGTTCCTGCTTCCCAGCATGATATCTGGTACAGAGTTTAGCATTCAATGTTTGTTGAATTAAGACTCATGTTTCTCTCCAGCTATGTACTTGTTCACCCTCATTTCCATGATTTCCCAAGAATCTTAATTATATAAGCTCGATTATATAGTAAAGGAATCCAGCTTGAACCTCTGGGAGCTCTCTGTCAATGTATGATTGTAGCCCTTTCTGTATTACCTT